GTGTTTTTACCATTGTCAAATTTTTTTTCAAATTCGACATATGTACTCATCAGACATTTAATCGATGACCTACTCCAAACAAATTTTGGATCATCTTTTTCATAAGAATCATCTAAAATAAGAACAAATTTTTATTAGAAGTTGCAAATTGTAATTTATCATGAGGCAGAAAGAAGCTTATAATCAGTCTCTGCAATTCAGTTTTCTTTTACCATTAATATTATGTAACAATTACGTAAGTTACAATGACAAATTAGTATAATTTATTTATTTTTTTATAATTGCTATATTATTTTTGAGGTAAAATTGGTTTTTTAAGAGGAGTTGAAATTCATTACTATTTATCTTAAATTGTGGTAGTTGACAAATAAATAAATAATTATAATAACTTACTTTTATTTGTATCCAAATCATTGACAGTCATGTCTGTGCTTGGTCCTAGCACTCCAATATCAAAGTACTTTTCTTTTTGACCTGCTATTAAATTTAACAAAGGAAGGAATTTAAGGAAAAGGAATACATGCTAGAGAGTGTAATGGATAATAGGTAATGAATTAAAGGAGGAAAGCTTTCACAAACAAACAGTATAATATGTATAAAATATGTCCTGAGTCCTAAATTACTATTCAACTCACAGTTAAAACTATGATAGCTAGAGACTAGAAATATGCATGGTACCTTCATACTACTATGTAAGTGTGCACTAAGAAAGGATTTTCAGAAACTCACATTTTAAAGATGGACACACAGAATTTTTTACTTTAATTGGATATGATTTTAGATCTCTATTTTATATTTAGTCAAAACCACCCAAATGACGGTTAATGATATGTGTAGTTTATATTTAACGGAGTTTAAAACAATAAATCCACTGACATTAAATAATTTGTCTTGGGCAACACCGTGCATCAGCTATAATTTAAAAGAAACGGGTAAGTGGATGTCGCTCTGCTATATAGTAGGTCACAAGTGGGTCAATTAAACTTGAATTCAATGATATTATATCATTGTATTAGAAAAACGATTCTGAGCTGAGACGGTTTGCCAGTCTAGATATTGTTATTATTTATTATAGCCTGGAAGTTGAATTAATATTATAATATTATTCTTTTTTATTCATTTCTATGATGATAAACAAAGCATTAGAAATTAAAATTCTGTTTTTAGCTGTTTTTCTTGTGGCATTAAATAAATATTGAGAAAATCGAAAAATGGCCTCTCTAAAGTACCATCTTGATCCAATTTTTCTTAAAGATAAGAAACTTTATGTTGAAATTGAAACACTCCTGGTAGAAATTTTGTATACAGGAATTAAAAATAAACACAATTATAAAACCACTAGCTAATTAGGTAATTAAAACTTGCATTGTAACTTACTATTACTTATAAGGATGTTATACCCGCATGTGTTGTCTCCGTCTTCCAAGTGCGTAACATAGTACATTTTATGCTCAGCAGAACACGTTTATCTCCGTTAATTTAAAAAATAGAGTAAATTGACCTTTTATAAAATCTAAAGGTAAGATTATTATCTTGTCAACCCCATGGGTTTTTTATTATATTTTAATTTTAAAGAGAGTTATGAGTATTTTAAAATCTATAAACAATTTACAATTTTAAAATACTCATAACTCTCTTTAAAATTAAAATATAATAAAAAACCCATGAACCTCATGACCTCAACCTGACTAGACAATAATCTTATCTTTAGATATTATAAGAGGTCAATTCACTCTATTTTTTTAAATGAACGGAGATAAACGTTTTCTGCTGAGCATAAAATATACTATGTTACGCACTTGGAAGACGGAGACAACACATGCGGGTATAACGTCCTCTTAATAGTAAGTTACAATAATACTTATTAGGGAAAATGATATTACATGTTTTACTATAGGTCATTACTATACTATAGAAGCTTCTGATATTAAATCAATCTGCAATACAGTTTTCTTTTACCATTATGTATAATTTAAATTAGTATAACTTATTTGTTACTTATAGTTGTTATACTATTTTTTTAAACAACATTTGTTTATTAAGAGGCAGTTGAAATTCAGTGCAATTCATTTAAAATTGTGGTAGTTGACAAATAAATAAACAATTATGATTACTTACTTTTATTTGCATTCAAATTATCGTCAATTTCTTGGCTTGATCCTGGCACTCCAATGCCACATGAATTCAAGCTCTCCACATCAATAAAGGCCATTTCCTGTTGACCTGCTATTAAATTTAACAAAGGTAGGAATTTAAGGAAAAGGACTACATGCTGGATATTATAGGGAATAGTTGGTAACAAATTAAAAGAGGAGAGTTTACACAAACAAACAGTATAATATGTATTTACAAAAGAAGATGTCCTGAGCCTTGATTTAATAATTGTGATTCACATTTTAAAGAGGGGCTCATGTAGGAATTTGTCATAATAATTGGATATGAATTTAGATCCATATTTTATATCGTGTCAAAACCATCCAAATTACTGTTAATAGTAATGTGTAGTTTATAGTTAATGACGTTTATAACATAATAAAGCCACTGCCATTATATAATAAGTCTCCAGCAACACCATGCAGAATCAGCCATAATTTAAAAATATATCTACTATATAAAATTAAAGGCATAAAATGGATGTAAATCTACAGTTTTTCACCAATTTTCATAAAATATTGAGATTAAATAAATGTTAAATAATTTTTTAATGAATTATAATTTATTTAATGATTAAATTTGAACTTGGTCTGGGGTCCTTATTCATTACTAATATCTTGTTTTTGATCGGTATAGTAATTTCACAATGTCTACATTAATAAATGCCATCTCTTTTTGACTTTCTATTACGTATAACAAGAAAGAAATGGATGATAGGAGGAATAGAATATAATGTTGTTATGATAGATTTCAGATTAGGATTAGAAACTTATACAAAACAAAAGTGATAGGTACAACATTTTCAAAATAATTTGTTAGGATTTATATGGATAAATTGTTTATTATATAATTATTGCTATTTCAACATTTTTGTAATAGCAGTACAAGTACTTAAAAATGTATCGGACCGTTGTTAACAAAGGACTTAGTACCTACTTTGTGGTGAAAGATAAAATATATATTAGTCTAAACAGAATACTGTTAGAACGAGCACATATTAAATTAATTGCTAATTTCTTAATTTACCTGTGGTTATGACCTCACAAAGCACTTGATGTGGGCAGTTGGAGTCATCATTAAAGATGGGTTTGTTCTCATTAAGAATAAACTTCACAAATTGTAGAGCCATTATTATTTATTATTATTTATTAATACTAAATATTCATTACTCCGATATTTCGAAAATTCGATAATTTATTAAATTTATGCCATTATCGACAAAGTATTATCTTATCAGCGACAGGCCATCGACGATTCTGCTCTACGGGATGGCCGGTTTAGCGACGGCCAGGATACACAAAAGCCGTCAAGGCAACGCATGAGACAAGCGGCCTGGCTGTTTAGGCAACGCCAAATACGTGATTGGTACCATATTGGCCGTGGATTGGTCGTTTAGGCAACGCACCTCGTGTATCTACTATCTAGAATCTATTATCTAGTATCTACTATCCATCAATCATCATGGAATCTATTATCTAATATTTTAATATCTATTGTAAATTACATATTTTTATCAATCGTGATTCGTGGTCTATGGCGTCTTTCGTAGTGTGCTGTCGAAGAAATAGATGTGTTTGCCTGTGTTTACTTGCTTTTCTATGGTTTTGTCGTTTTCAGTTTGTAAAGGAACAAAGTAAGTACTGAATACTGAATAGGTATTCAATATCTACTAAGTATTAAGTAAATATCATAATTTATAAATTTTAATATTTACATGTATAGAATAAATATTAAATTATATAACATATAGCTTTTGCCCATTTTGGCATTCTACGATTAACCAATGATTACAGTTTATTTGGCTTTAATGTATTACTAAATAATATTTAGCAAATATTCATGAATTGAATTTTCAATTACTTAAGGATTAAGATGAATGATGACTATTGATGTTAAGAATAATACATTTTTATAAAAACACATACAATAATAATCATACACTGTGATTAACAATGTAATCAAAATCACTTGGTAATTAATTTCTTTACACTGTGATTAACAATGTAATCAAAATCACTTCATAATTAATTTCTTTATAGTGAAATCTTATTATTTTTAACATAAATAGTACTAAATATTAATTCTTAAGTAATGGCGAATTAAAATTAAAATATATTTGAAATTAATTATTATTTAGTTATGGATAAAGATCAAATAAACTGTAAAAATTGGTTAATCGGATAATTTTTTTGCCCAACACTGGCACTAATTACTAACTAGTACCTAGTAACTACTAACCAGTTAGCAGGGAGATCCTTAAAGGTCTAGTCCAACACACACTATTTACATTGTGATGCTCTATTAGCTAATTAACTTTTAAAAATATTTTAATAATTATTACTACCTATTGTCCTATTGTATGGTTCATTATTAAATGCAACCTCACGTATTATGGTTAAAATTAAACCAAAATAAATAAATACTTATCTATCAGTATAGCATTTTAAAGTAGCATATTTTATTTAAAGTGTACTAACAAGTAAAAATCTAGTTTATTTAAATTCAAATATTTTTTGGTACTTAAATAATACTTATTATAAAAATGCATCAATAATTGAACCCATTTTTTAATATACTTAACTATTTAGTATTTATACATAGTTGACTTTTAATTTAGGTTGATTATAAGATCATAATGAGTGCTGTTGAACAAAATACCAGTGTTCCCGAGGAAGGAATAGAAACAAAATCAACTATTCAAAAAAAAATTAAAATCTGGGGATTGTAAACTGTTAGAAAAAATTGATGGGAAAGTCGAATTCTGGAAATGTTTTAATAAAGTGGTGTTTGATAATGAGACAGAAAAAGAGACAGGTTTTGTTTGTTGTACTAAATGTAAAACATTAATGGCTTATACTTACAATACAGGTAGTTCCCATCTTAGTAGACACAAGTGTGCATTAGTATCAAGAGAGTCTACAAGTTCAATGCTTTCATTTGTAACCAAAAAAAACAAATCTCTACCAAACAATGTCATCAACGAATGTAAGGAAAAATGTATTCAATTTGTCTGCCAAGATATCCGTCCTATGGATATAGTTTCTGGACCGGGATTCAAATCTCTGGCTAGCTATTTAATAAAAGTTGGGTCACAGTTTGAACAGATAGATGTTGATGATTTATTACCACACCCTACAACTAATTCGAGAAATTTAATAAAAAATAGTGATACTAAACGTGAGCAATTATTTACAAGTATAAAGCCTTTTTTGATAGAGAACATAGTCTCAGCAACTACTGACATGTGGACTGATAACTACAAAAAAAGATCATATGTAGCGCTAACATTACATTTTATTGATAATTGGAAACTAAAAAATTACTGTGTTTACACAGGACAATTTCCTGTAGATGAAAAAAAACAGGAGAAAATATCAAAAAGTGCTTAAAACATTTTTTTGTGGCTTGGGACATGATACCTGGGGAAGTTAACCCACTATCAAAAGTTATCTGGGGAACAGATCAAGGATCAAATATTAAAAAAGCATCAGAACAAAATACAAGAGTAAATTGTGCCGCCCACATGATATCTAATATTCTAAAAGCTACAATTGACAATAAATTTATTTCGGGCGAAGATGGAAGTAGTGTAACAGTGCCAATTTTTAAATTAATTCAAGCAGCCAAAGCACTTGTAGGCTATATGAAAGGAACTGGTGACAACAATAAAATTTCAAAAACACTTATTCAAGAGCTTGAAATAAGATGGAATACCCGTTTATTAATGATAATTTCCATTGAAGAACAGTTTCAAGAAATTAAAGACTTGTATAAAGATGGTTAAAATTTAAATAGACCATTCAAAAACACTGCTCAACAGAGAGGTCATTTATTACTTATGTATGAAGTATTTGAAAATATGACTATTTTTGAAAAGAAAACACTCAATGGCAAAGTTATAAATATAGATGTGACAAATAGAGTTAAGTTTTTGAACGGCTGGCAGATAACCATTAATGCATTATGACAGTTGTGGGACGACATTCAAAAACCAAATTATGTTTTATGTACCTATAAATTAAACCAGGACTGCTTGGAAAACCTTTTTGGCAGCTTTCGGAATCAAAATGGAAATAATGTAAACCCAACACCTATACAATTTCTCTGGGCATTTAGAAAGATATTTTTCATAAACTTCTTCAAACACAGCGATGGATCCAACTGCTTAGACGACTTTAATGAAATCCTAACCAACATTGGAGAATTGGCTCCACCATTAACTAATGCACCTGTATTATTCCCAGAGAAATCTCCATTTAAATTGTGTCCTTTAAAAGTAAGCACTGTAGATTACAGAGAGTTGTGTTTCCCTGCAATGAATGCACTTGCGTATGTGTGTGGATATTTAATAAAAAAATGCATTGAAAAACATTCCTGTGATTTATGTTTAAAGTATGCTAAGCATCAAGATCAATTAGATCAATCATTTATATTTGTATTCTTAAAGGCCTAGCAAAATACAGAAAATTCAACCTATGGAAATTTAAATGTACCTCCCGATCAGTTTATTTATTATATTAATGAATTAGATGACATTTTTGTAAGTAATTTTCCTACACTAGCAGTAGAGAATGATGTTGGAAGAAAACTTAAAAATTTCATAGACAATATTCCTTTTAATCACCCATGCCCTAAATTTGACATTGAATACTTAAAGGCTCTTTACATTCGATTAAGAATTTTTCATACTGTTAGTTTGAAGAAAGAATAGAAAATTAGACATTCTCTCTCACCTTTAAATAATATGTTGTATATACTGTATATTTTAAGTTTTTAATATTATGTATACACCTATGTCTATACCTATGTTTTTTAATATTTTTTTAATTTGTTTTTCTATTAAAAAAAAAATACCTTGTGGCTAGTATTGAAAACAAAATAAACGTTGAAAAGTTGACACAGATTTTAAAATACTTTTCCATATCCTATTCCTAACCTTCACATATTATAGAATAATTATTGTACAACACAGAACGTAAAAATAAATGTGAAATAGCAAAGTAAAAACCACATAATAGAATAATCTAAAAAAATTAAAATTATTAGACAATTTTTGTATTCTGAGAGAAATTTGTAATATTTGGAAGGTTTTCTAATCACTTGCTAAAATTGATAAGAACTACCTCAATTAAAATGGCGGCTGATTTTTTGTTTGACCCTATCTTACTGTATAATTTGTTATTAGTGTCCATTCTGATTATTCTATTCTGTGATTATACAAGCTTAATTTCACATCAAAATAAATGGCTACGATGTAATGACACTGCAATACATTTTGAACGATGGCCTCGAGGGGGTAAAAATGTATATATTATAATAAGAAAAAAAAAATAGAATATGAATTTAAAACAAAAAAATAGAGTATATTAAATAAAAAAACATAACAATAAAATAAATGAATTAAAATATAAAACATTACATATTACATGCCAGTACATAAAAATATGTTATAAAAAAACTACTGATATCCCAACAAAAACACTTCGTCGAACTCCGTGTAAAAAATTGCTAAGTAAAAAAAAACTAGTCATCTATAAGACTTCAGCATTATAAATATGTGATATTATAAATAAATGCTAAGTTAACTTAAATTTGAAAAAAACTAGTAATTTATAATACTTAAACATTATAAAGATGTGATATCAAGAATAAATGCTAAGTAAATTAAATTTTAAATTAATATTGATGATTCTATCTCAATCATTTATTTACTTGGCTAGAATTTATTTCGACAAATTAACATGTCTATTCATAACTGGACTATTTAACAAATTTCCATGACAAATGTTACTAAATTTGTTTTATAAAAAAGTGATACGGTACGCAATCGACGACCAGTACAAACTACAAAGCATGACAAAATAAATAGGTATGATCACAGATTTTTGATACGCATCCCCGGTTCCTCACTTCACCATAGAAAGTGGTGGGAGACTTCCGCCTCTTTTCATTGGCTGCTTCCCTGCTGGTAGTCTACTGATAGTGATTAGTGGTTGACGGTTATCAATTAATATAATATTGTGGCGACGGTTGTCCCACATGCTGTCATCTGTTCCCCAGCGGTCGTACCAGCGGTCGTCACCACACTCACTCTAGCAGTCTCTCACGGTGCCGTCTTACGTTACGTTCACGCCGCTCCGTCTACCGTTACGTTCACGCCGTACCGCGCTCGCTATTGTCCGCGATCATAATAAAGAATTTCTGTGTCATTTATTTTTACTATACCAACTTATACTTGTCATTAGCATACAACCTTTATACATGTTGCTTTAATAAAATAAAATTAAACAATTATTTAAATACGTCGGCATTCTGAGTACTTTTGCCTAACCTCAAATACCGTTGCCGCAGGGATAGCGCTTAGATTGCCGCATTGGTGACCTCGTGTTTTTCAAAATTCTCAATTTTCTGTTATACACGCAACTGCGCAAGGTTCTATCAAGTTTACCGAAAAGTTCGATATGGTTGACGACGAAGTCTCGCAAGATCCGTCTGGTGCGCTCGGTCAGCCATCACCGTCCTCGCTCGCGAACGTTTCGACCACGGTTGACAGTGTTTCCCACGTGCCCCGACTACCAAATTTTTGGACTTACTCCCCGCACGAGTGGTTCCTACACGCGGATGCCGTATTCGCCAACCAAAGAATCCGCGCCGACACCCCGCGTGTAAACCACGTGCTCGCCGCTCTGAACGAGGAGGCGGTCAAGGCGGTAAGCGACCTGATCGGTCCCAACACTTCCTACGCTAGTCTAAAGGATCGTCTCATCAGCACGTTTTCGGTGCCGCCGTCGACTCGTTTTCGCACCATCGTTGAACCGGGCGGGATGGGCGATCGGAGACCCTCTCAAATGCTCCGAGATATGAGAGCTGTGCTTCCGAATTCGTTGGACGATACTGCGCTAAGGGAGTTCTGGCTACAAAAGTTACCGTCAAACATTCGCGCAATAGTCTCCGGCCTCGACGGAACGTTGACCGATATCGCCGAACGTGCGGATCGCGTGTTGGAGGCCAGTACCTCGCGCGACGTCTTCGCGGTGCAATCGAGTAGCTCTGACGACCGTCTCCGCGCCATAGAGGCTGCCATACTCTCGTTGACTACCCAAATCTCCAACCTGCTCACCGCCCAGCAGTCTCGTAACAATTCCGGGTACAGTCGCCATCGGAGCCGTTCAAAATCGCGCACACAAAACAACCCCAAATGGTGCAGTTATCATAATCAATACGGCGCTGACGCTAGGCATTGCAAGTCGCCGTGTACGTTTAAGTCGGAAAACTAGCAAGCGCGGCGGTCGCAACCACGTCCACCGCCGCGAACCACAGCTCCCGCGTGTTCGTCACCGACACACGCTCCGGCCGACAGTTTTTAATTGACTCGGGAGCCGACATCTCGGTTATCCCACCTGTCGCCGGGCATCGCGCCTCGTCGGATTTGGTCCTCACAGCTGCCAACGGCACTCGAATCCGTACGTACGGACCCAAAATTCTACGTCTCAACATCGGCCTCGCACGCTCTTTCCCGTGGCGTTTCGAGATGGCAGACGTCTCGCGTGCTATTATTGGTGCCGATTTTTTGAAATATTACGGTTTGTTACTTGACGTACGTAACAGCCGCCTCATCGACCAGGATTCGTCCACCGCTATTAAAACCAGCGTCGCTAATGTACAGGTTCCAGACATTTTTTCGGTAGTTCACCCACGGCGCTGGACGGACATTATCGCCGAGTTCCCGGCAGTTACGCGTGAATCGCCGGTCCCGAGTAAGTTCACTCACACTACGGAGCACACGTTGGACACAACCGGACCACCGTTATTCGCGCGTCCACGCCGCCTGCCACCTCACCAGTACACCATCGCGAAAAATGAATTTGCATACATGTGCCAGAAAGGTATATGTCGTCCTTCGGACAGTCCTTGGGCCAGTCCCTTGCTGCTCGTGGCCAAGAAAGATGGCACTTTTCGCCCCTGCGGCGATTATCGGCGCGTAAACGCGGTCACGAAGCCAGACAGGTACCCGCTACCTCATATCCACGATTTTGCCGCCAACTTGGCGGGTCGAACAATTTTTTCCAAACTCGACCTTGTGCGTGCTTACCATCAAATTCCCATCGCTAAGGATGACATTCCAAAGACCGCGGTCACGACGCCGTTTGGTTTGTATGAATTTCCTGTCATGTGCTTTGGCCTCAAGAACGCGGCACAGACGTTCCAGCGTTTCATAAACGGCGTCATCCAGGGTTTGGACTTCGTTTTTGCTTACGTCGATGATGTATTAATCGCTTCCGTCAACGCCGACGAACATGTGGCCAACGTGCGCGAAACACTCCAACGTTTGCAACGCGCCGATGTCGCTATAAATCCGGGGAAGTGCGTGTTCGGCGTTTCGGAGCTCACCTTTCTTGGCCACTTAGTAAATCAGCACGGATGCAAGCCGCTGCCAGAACGAGTTTCCGATATCCACAAGTGGCCACTTCCGGCAACCAAGAAGGGACTTCAGAGGTTGCTAGGTTCCGTCAATTTTTACCACCGGTTCATCCCACACGCCGCCCAACTACAAGCCCCGCTGTACACGCTCGCGTCCACAGTTCGAAAAAAAGACGGCCCACTAGTCTGGACCTCGGACACTCGCGAAGCTTTCGAAAAATGCAAACAAGCGTTGGCAGGCACGATCACGCTGGCACACCCGAGGCACGACACTCCCTTGAGGTTGAGCACCGACGCATCCAGTACGGCAATGGGAGCGGTCCTGGAGCAATTTTCAGACGGGAGCTGGCAGCCGTTGGGATTTTTCTCTCGTAAGTTATTACCCTCCCAAACACGCTACAGCACTTATGACCGGGAACTTCTTGCGGCCTACCAAGCCGTCAGACATTTTCTCCACACAATTGAAGGCAGAAAAACAACCCTACGTACCGACCACAAGCCTTTGCTGTACATGTTTGCGACCAAGTCCGACAAACATAGCGATCGGCAAGCACGGTACATAAGTTTTTTGGCGCAGTTCGTGCACGTCGTCGAGCACGTTGACGGGGTACGTAACGTAATTCCGGACGCGCTGTCCAGATTAGAGCTCGCATGCACCAACACCACCATTCCGGTTCTGAGCCAGTTCGCGGCAGATCAGGCACGCGACCCGGAGTTACAAAAGTTGTTGGACGGTTCCACCCCTTCCTCGTGTCGCTTGTTACCACAGCAGACGGAGCACGGATTAGTCTACGTCGATACCGCACACGGCAAGGCCCGGCCATACGTCCCGGCTATTCATCGGCGCACTATAGTCACTGCTCTTCACAATCAGGCACATCCGGGTATCAACGCAACGGTGAAATTAGTAACTAGCCGGTATTGTTGGCCAGGCATGTCTCGGCAGATCAGGGTTTGGACAAGGTGTTGCCAAAACTGCCAAAAAAGTAAGGTCCACAGACACACCATTTCTCCGATCGCCCCTTTCGCGTTGCCAGATCGCCGTTTCGGGCATATTCACATTGATATAGTCGGCCCACTACCTCCGTCGCGTGACCATCAGTATATTTTGACGTGCGTGGATCGGTTCACTCGTTGGCCGGAAGCTTGGCCGATAAAAAACATGTCCGCTTACGCCGTCGCCGAACTGCTGGTGTCACAGTGGATTGCCAGGTTCGGAGTGCCCGATGTTATAACCACCGACCAAGGGAGGCAATTCGAATCGGATTTGTTCAGTCAGCTGATGACGTCGTTCGGTATTCAGCACCTACGAAGTTCGCCGTACCACCCGCAGGCCAATGGTATGGTCGAACGACTTCACCGTCCATTAAAGGCTGCCCTCACTGCGCACGATTCTCCGCAATGGACACTACGATTGCCCATCGTCCTTCTTGCGTTCCGGAACTTGGTCAAACCTGAGCTCGGTTGCTCGCCCTCGGAACTCGTGTACGGCACAACGCTGCGATTACCTGGTGAGTTTTTTCACATCTCTACTCCCACGGTAAAGGAACCCCCCGAATTTCTCAGGTCTCTCCGTTCTCAAATGCAGTCCCTACAACCGACGCCTGGCACGAACCACGGATCGCAAACTGTGTACATTCCCAGTCAGCTGTCGTCTTCCAGCCATGTGTTCGTGCGCGTCGATGCCAAACGCCCCCCGCTCCAGCCTCGTTATGACGGACCCTACGCTGTGCTAAACCGTCGCGAGAAGACCTTCCAAATTCAAATGCATTCGAGGCAGCCGTGGATCTCAGTGGACCGGCTGAAACCTGCTTTCATCCTCAACGACAACCCACCCGCGGACCACACCTACGCAGCCAGTGAAGTGGTTCAACCTGCATCGAACAAAAAACGCGTCCGTTTTTGTTTCCCGGGGGGGGAGTAATGTGGCGACGGTTGTCCCACATGCTGTCATCTGTTCCCCAGCGGTCGTACCAGCGGTCGTACCAGCGGTCGTCACCACACTCACTCTAGCAGTCTCTCACGGTGCCGTCTTACGTTACGTTCACGCCGCTCCGTCTACCGTTACGTTCACGCCGTACCGCGCTCGCTATTGTCCGCGATCATAATAAAGAATTTCTGTGTCATTTATTTTTACTATACCAACTTATACTTGTCATTAGCATACAACCTTTATACATGTTGCTTTAATAAAATAAAATTAAACAATTATTTAAATACGTCGGCATTCTGAGTACTTTTGCCTAACCTCAAATACCGTTGCCGCAGGGATAGCGCTTAGATTGCCGCATTGATTGCCGCAATATATTATATAATATTATTATGATTGTACTTAAAATTTAAATCGTGAATTTACATATTGAGTCATATCCACGAAAATAAAATATATCATATATAAAATAATCATTTATTAATTTATTATAGTAATTTAAGTTAAACGACAGACAGTTGGTTAATAAGAAACATTGAGTTTTTCAAATTGTACCGAGGTATTCATAATATTATATTTAATTTATAGTGTGTTTTATAAGTTCTGTATGAGTTTAATGTGTTAATATATATTATAACAAGAATATTAATTTATAAATTTTTGTTTTTTTCTCTTTTCTTGTCTCTTCGCGTAGTTTTTCTCTGTGGTCCTGTTGTTGAGATCATTGAGTCTGATGAATGTCCTTGTTCTTACAAGGCATTCAATAGCATCTTTTGGAATACACAAGTCTTCAATGTGAGGCATCAGTAAGTTGGTCATATTTTTCATTATATTTTTATTTTTACTAATGTTATCTTGATGAAGTTTTTGAAATTCGATTTCTAATTTTCTGACTGCCACCATCAGGTTGTCAGAGGGCAATTTCAAACCACCCTTTGATTTAAAACTAGTCCAACAACTAACAGTTTTATCATCAATTTGTTTGATAAGTTCTGGATGTTTGTTAGCAAAACGGTTAGCAACATATCCAGCTACATATTGGGCACAATCTAGTTCGAGTTCATTGAAAGGCTCACTGTTTTCCATCTATAAGGTAAGAATAAATATTTGTCAAATTAGTTTTAAAATGTATTTAATTTTTTAACTATAACATAGTTAATAGTATTGTATATAAATGACACTTATTAAGTAATAAGTGTCTCAACTCTACAATTAGTTTTAATTTACTTAATGAATAACTAGTTTGTATACTTCAAATTCGGTCAGTAGGTCAAAACATTCTTTTGGAACTGAAGACTTTGATATACATGAACTCGATTCTATATTGGCCATTTCATTATCATGTTCGTTGGAATCATCCACTTCATCAAACACATTTGAGTTAAACATTAAGCTAGTTAAACAGTCACTTTCATTTAACAGACTCTTTTCTGAATCTCCTTCAGAATTTGTATTTTCGGTGAAAACAAAGTCTGAGTGCTTCCCCAAAATGAACCACCTTAAACTAAATTATTAGGTATAGCCAAATATTATAACATTTATTACAATATACAATTTTAATTTTTTTGGTAATGTTTAGTGAAAATATATTTACAGATGAAAATTAGACTTGCCTGTATTTGAAGTCAAGAGCAGTTATATTGTTACTAGCAGAACCTGCCATGCCTATTAAAAAACTAAACAAGTTCTCAACATCATCTTGATTCAATCTTTTAGTGATAATGTATTGCAAAGCATAATTGCTTTTTAAGTCTTCTAGTAAGTTTTTTAATGAATTATTACATACTAATATACCTATATAATAATAACATTATTTTATTAGGTACTCATTTTCAAAAACATAAAATATTTAATGTATTGACCTTTTTGAAAAGGGAGCAGTGTTTTTTTCCCATGTACTCGCATTTCCTGAATAAAGCTGGTCATTGTATTCAATAATTCATATTGATTGACCTCATCGAGTCCAAAACTCGGAACACCTCCATCAAATTTGTGTTGTGTGTTGAAAAGATCAAACCAGTTATTAAATAACAAGATCAATTCCGAAGCCTTTTCAAGTAAAAATAAATTTGTGAATTATTGTATTAGTTAAATAATTATATATTTTTAAAATACTTGCATCTTTCCAGTTCAATGTATCAATATAATTCTTTGTGCCAAGATATGCAAGGGCCTTAGAAACTGTATCGGAAAACACATTAGCAGCTAGTTTGACATTCATCCTTCCAGTTCCTTGAACTTCAATATGCCGTTCAGTCAATTTAGGTGCCAACTTATAATCTGATCTCTCAGAATCAATTGATAGAAGCTTTTGGAAAATTGCTTTACCAACATACTTTTCATTAGGAAGTACAAACCCACTAAAAAAAAGATTATATAATATTTAATTGTTCTTATTATTGTACATTGCTAGATAAACAACTTGTCAAGTAAATGATTCCTGCCCAATTTTAAGAGATGTGGGACATCTGCAAAAACGTGAACACTTTTTCCTGTATTTGGATGTTTAAATGACGTATTTTCATTTGAAATGTTTAAAGACCGCCATAAAGCCATGTTGGAAGGGCCCATATCATTTACCATCGAAATTACATTAAAACCAATCTTATGTAATGATATTAAATAGTAGATCTTTAGTCATATGGGTATCATAATTATAAAAAATTGGTTGTTTCCAATTACTTACAAGGCCTAAATAGTAGTTTAATGTAAATATTTCGTTAATCGTTTAATATATTATAGTACTGTATTTAATATTTAAGAATATACCTCGTACAACAACAGTCTGCACACATCTATGTGGTCCAATCACCTGTTCATTTTTTTTATCGTAACATATTCTATTGGATATATATGTTTCATCAAAAGCAATAACAGTAAGCTTTTCATTGTCAGTCATTAAAGTTCCTGAATAAGTAAATTAGTTATTTTAAAATAGTAGGCTACAAATTATGTTGTATAATATCAATGTGAAATAAAAAAATACGGAGCTTCTCTAATATCCGCCGCCAAACCATCTCACCTTAGAACACTGGAATCAATACATAACGCAGGGATCCGACTCTCCATTGGTGCGTTCAGATCAAGCCCGATCAGTAGCATACTCAGCATTGCCGGCATTCCACCATTGGACATAAGATGGTCTGAACTAACATCCAAAACCGCAGCCAGAATGGCCCGCTCCCCCCAAGGTCTTCATTCCTCCCCTAACCACATTTTCAACAATTATAAAAAATATGATTTAGATAACATAATGACTACTGAAATCAGCATATCCCCTCCGTGGCTTATCTCGATGAACATCATCCTGGACTTACACCAACTCCCCAAGAAATATACCAGCTCCACTCAATACAGGAATCTCTTCACGGAAATACTTTCATCTAAACAGCAACACGCACTTATATACACGGATGCCTCTGTCGTGGTAAATCGGGTTGGAATGGCCATCATTCACGGGGATACACATATCCAATGGAAACTATCAAACAAATGCTCTATTTACACAGCTGAAGCACTAGCCATCCTAAAAGCTATTGAGTTTGCAACAAACAAAGTTGAAGCCAAACAAATCATTATCCTTAGCGACTCCCTTTCCTCTCTCATGAGTATCCAGAACCAGTGGAAACCTACTGACTTAGCAAGAAAAATTCATAATGCTCATTCCACCGCTACCTTCGCCGGTAAACAAATATCCTTCATGTGGATTCCCGGCCACTGTAATATAAGAGGAAATGAACTCGCTGACAAGGCTGCCAAACAGGCCCACCTAGCCAACAACCCCATTACGTCACTGGTTTTTACATACCAGGATGTTAAGAGGATCATTGCTAAAGAGGCACACAACCAATGGGAAAACAAATGGGCAGCTGAGACAACCAAGTTACATGAGATCAAAAGAACCACATACCCTTGGCCGTTCCCTGCAAACATCTCCAGGAAACAGGAGACAGCCATCACTCGCCTCAGGATAGGACACACACACATCACCCATCAACACCTCATGAAGGGAGAAGAACCTCCCATCTGCACCCAATGCGGCTCCCTACTTACTGTCAAACACATCCTCACAGAATGCCGAAGATATGAAAATGAAAGGAGAGAACTGAACCTTCCGGACCAGCTAGCCGAATCACTCAGCCCCGAACAGAGCAACCTGACAACGACGTTGGATTTTTTACACAACACAGGACTTCTCAACAAAATTTAAGTTATATTATGTTATATTAACATACTGTCTTTTCTTTCTTGTATTTTTTTTTTTTTTTTTTTTTTTTCTTCTCCTTCATATTTAATGTATCTATATACAAAAATGTCTAACCTTGTATAGTATTGTATAGCATTAATGTCGTCCAATGGCCATAGTCGCCGCGGATATAATATAATAAAAAAAAAAAAAAAAAAAAAAAAAAATAAAATATTATTATTAAATTACCTTTGGCTTTCATAAGAGTTAATACACTTTCAAGTATTCCTGGTTCAACTTCAAAAGTTGAGGCCCATCTTCTTAATGTAGACAAACCTTAAATTTGATTTTATGAATGATTATTATTTATTTGTTCCGTTTTTTAAAAGTGTATATAGTAATGCAACTTTTTTTACTTTATATTATTATTATTTTTTTTTTTTTTAAGATTTCATTTATATAGTTTTCATCACGTATAAATCGATTCATGTTATAACTCACCTGGTAATGGGTACTGTTTTTTATTCCTTAAATATCTGTAGGCTTTTGGCGAAATACTACGTAATGTAATCGCAGAAGATACGTCTTCTGGTAACCATTTCGAAACTTTTTTACTCGGTCGGAGTATTTGACTAATTTGAGTACTAGTAAATAATTTAGACAAAATGTCACTAAAACGGGATTCGAATCTTTGATTTTCCAAATTAACAAATTGTTTATAGTACTCAATTTTTTCATTTTGCATCTGAATTATATTTTTACATTTTACATTTTCTGCCATAAGTTCATCTTTCTCTTTCTTATATTTTTCAAAATCATTATTCATTCTAAAGATAATTTATTAAAGATAACTAATTAAACAATTTAAAAATTGTAAGTATACACATGTATAACTGAAACATAAAAACTAGGTACATACAAATATAATTGTTTAATGCATAAAATAAACAAACATTTATTATATTACTTTACATTTTGTATAGGCGTTTTAAAATAATATGGATTGATTAATGTATAGCATAAAAGTAATTTAAAGAATACAATACAATACATTTATATTAGACTTATGCTGAGTTGCATTTCAATAAATATAATTAAATATAACATTATATATAACAAAATATAATTTAATGTTCTCTGATTGGTTAGGTTATTTGATTGGTTCCCTAAATTTTAATTAATTAAATGGTTTCTGCTACTCTACAATAGATATTAAACATCAAAATATAATTATAAAAAATAAGTTAGGTAATAAGTGTCTACATATTATATTCAAAAATATATATAACAATAGTATAAGAACAATAAAAAAAGATATAATATCAATTACAAAATGTAAAAACTAATAATTAATTATCATTCAAGTAGATATCTCAATATCAAACACAAATTCTTAATCAAACAGGTTATTTAAAATAAACTATCCCTGAACGACCAAGAACAAGTATTTTTATTAAGAATGAGTAAGTTTCAGTGTTCTGCCGTTCTGGTAGTACTTGTCATAACGGATATTCATTTATTTTGTTGTTGTTTATACCTCATGCAAATACAAAAGCATTAAAGATTAAAAATATCACAGAAGACAAAACACAAATATCGTAAAAATATACTTTTGAAATAAGTCTGGCTCATTATTTTCAAGGCATTTGACACCAGGTATAGTGTCTGATACACCAAACAAATCAACTTGGCATGATATTTTTCGCCTGAACACAGATTCAACACTAACAAAATATATATCAATATTTTAAATGATTAGTTTTTTACTGTAAGTTATACCACATTATAATATTATCTGTGGTTATAATGCAATATACATAACATAATAAAAATATAGCTTATTAAATATATATACCTTTTAGATTCATCAGCTGAACTGGTCACAGAAAATAATCCAGCTGGAGTTTTTATTGGAGAAGATTGATTTCCATCACTAAATAAACAAAATAACATTAATTCATATTCGAAAATTGTTTAACTTTATACAAAAATCACAAAATTAAATTGAAATCAACCTAAAAGGGATAGCAGTAGGTTTTAATTTTCTCCCACATTTTGGAGAATAATCCAACATATTTTGCACATTTGTTCTTTCTTCGTATGAATTTACAGAAAAATGTAAAGAACATACGGCAGCTAAAATAAAATCAGTTAAATTAATTAATATGTAATCATACAGCCGATCCTTCAATATTTTATCATTTAACGCCAGGTCTTAATAAAAACATTTTATTCAATTTATACAAAAATAATTTACCAGTATCACAGTTAATCTCTTTGATCACATTTGAAGCATTTCGAATTTTTTCCACCCACAAAGATCTCATTCCGACATCTTTAGGAAATCGATGTATATGTATCTTTGGGTCACAAAATAACCCTTTCCGTTTACTGCCACTAAAACAATTTTCGACTATACAAACTGGCATATTGATAACTTTACCACAATTAGACCTGTAACAAATAACTATGTACGAACAAAAATTACAAAATTAAAATTTTTACAAATTAATAACGCATCAGTGGTAATTGGTTATGATTAATATCAAATGACAAAAGACGAAAACCAAATATGCATAAAAGTATAGAACAATGCAATTACAATCGAAAATACAAAAAAGGCGCCATACAGTATAAGCCAATCAAGAGACGCGGAAGACTCCCACCCTTCTCTGCGCAGACTGAAGAAAATTCAGTTTGTTGTGATCATACCTATCTATTTAGTCATGCTACAAAGTACAGGCGTCGGAGCTACCTATCTGCACTTCACAAACCGCCACCACGGGCTACGGGCGCGACATCGCCAACTCTCCCACCACGCCGAAAAGGCAAGGCGGGACGGGGAGGCAAGGCGCGTAGGACGAGTACCGGCCGCCGGCTCTCTCTCGCTTTTCAACCACCGTCACGGCCTGATCCGTCCTACGAAACTCGACCCGTCGAATCCGTCTTCGTACACTGTGACATCACATTTTTGACCCGACCACGGGTCTTTCTGTTTTATGTTAAATAAACGCCACCCGGCTCTTTCATAACCAACCAATCGGTGTTCACAGTTCTTTTCTTTCGTGAAAGTGTTAAGTGGTGCGTTTGTGCCGAGTGCATCAACACGCACCTTAGACAACGACCGGCCTACCATCCTACCTGCGTAGCCGCGTCAAAAGTCTTAATTATTAATTTATAAAGAAAATAAATTCTCGCAAAGTAAATAAATGATTGAGATAGAATTAATTAATTTAAAATTTAATTTACTTAGCATTTATTCTTGATATCACATCTTTATAATGTATTATAAATTACTAGTTTTTTTACTTAGCAGCTTTTTACACGGAGTTCGACGAAGTGTTTTTGTTGGGATTATTTTTATACTTGTATAGATTCGTATGTTATTCAAAGACATTTTAAGCTAGGAAAGCATCGTCCATCATATTCTATACCTAATTGATTGATTGGTTGATGGCGGCGCACTCGTCCGTGTCATATCACATGGTGGTGGTGGCGTCAACTTCGGCCGGGGCGTTTTCGGGATTCATTTGATCCAATTCCAATCCGTTTTCTTCTATGTTGTTGTGACGCTCCTGTTGATTGACACGATTATAAAGTTTTTACGAGCAAAAAAAATTAATGTTTTTGAGGTAGAGGTTAGGTTAACAAAAGTATAAAGTACTGCAAATAATATTATAGACAAGTACTTACACGTATAAACGGGAATATCTCATTATAATGAGGTGGTGGTATGACTTCATCGTACGGCGGCGGTGCTAGTTCCACTTCATTATCTGGTTCATTTATATTCCTCGTCATACATTATAATAATATTAATGTGGAACGATATTGAAAACAATATATTAATATGTATCTTTTTTAAATGTGGAATTTACCCATAGGCTATCGCTATAATGGATAAGCTGAATAGAACACATCCTACTATTATTATGTGTTGGACGTCAGAAGATATATCTAAAGAAAAAAGAATAAAAATTAAGTTATAATAAAAAAAAAAAATATAGAGATAAGACAATTTGTCGATATACGATACAATAATATTATCTATAGGTCTACTCAATATACGTTTTACAATAATCAGTGCTCACCTCAGATCGCAGTTAGTGGTTTGAACAAGTACCAAGTTTATTTTTTTTTATTACTATTAAATCATATTAGTAATCCAAAATAATATAATATCTCGACCATAAAATAAGTTAAAAAATCGCTGTATTTCGTTATAAGTATAAATAAAAATAAAAATACACGTGGTTTGAATGAATATAATATAATATATTATACAGCCCGTATACTATTATATGGATAATAAAATAAATTTAAAAGCCAGCATATTTATTGCAGGGCTTGAAACCGAAAAAATTTTTTCCGGTTTCGGAAACCGGTATTGACTTTTTCCGTTTTCGGTTTGGGTTTCAGATACCGGTATCGATTTTTTCCGATTTAGGTTTCGGTTTCGGTTTTTAACGGTTTAAACCGGTACTCAAAATCGGTTTCAAGCCCTGAATTTTATTGCATCTTAAATAGTATGATATTGATTAATTAGCGGAATTAATATTTTATAAAGGTTAAAAGAATACGTCACGTTAAAGAATGAGACAAAATCCAATAGAAGTCGATCAATATGACAAATGACGGTAAAAAAGTTTTGGGGAAAATCATGTCACTACTTTTAGGTAGGTATATGTACCACGCTGTATCTACTATTCAAAGTTTATTTAACTTTATCACTATACCTAAGGGATAATCTGAGAAACCAGAGCAGTAAGTGAGCAGTAAGTAATTTTACTATCAATGTTAACAATTATTTATTTACAAATAAATTATAATCCAAAGATATCTAACTTATTCGAAAAAGAATCTTTTTGAAACATTTATTCTGAATTATATTATAATATAATATTAAAATGTGATAGGAATATTTTAGTATAGGTACATATATATATAAAAATACTGGTTGTAAAATTATTCATGAACATTAATTTAGAAATAATAATAATTTGTGTTTGAGATGCCTGATTTAGATTGTTAGAGATCACTAGAAGTGAAGTCTATTCATACTTTTTAGATTCTGAGTGAAACGATGAATGTATTGATTTTACAATGATGTGTGTTTTTTTATTTTTGTGTCTGTGTACACGATAAGTAGTCGAAATAATGCTTCGGTTTTCGACTTCAGTATCTTGTTCGATTGGAAAGTGAATATCGTTGGTGCATTGGGGAGGTCAAAATTTAATATTCCCAATAGTTTTCAAAAGCGTCGGGAAAAACAACATTAAAATCAAGGAAAAACGGGAATTTTTACGCAAAATCGGTTTTTGACAAAATCGAATTTGGTTTTTGGTGTAACTTTAAAACAAATGACTGTAGGAACATGAAATTTTGACTGGTTATTTATATTTGCTTTTTCTATACACGATAACATTTTCAAAATATTTTGATTTATTTTGAACTGTTTAGGGACATTTTAATTTTCCATTTTTTTTTAGTTTTTTTTCTAAAAATATCAATATAATTTTATTTGTTAGTTGCGAAAGCTTGAGAATTTAATAGAAGGCTCCTAATATATTGTTTCAAAGGCAGATGAAAAATATTAAAAATCCTTAGTCACAATTTTTTTTTATAAGCATTTAAAGTTCAAAAATTGTAAAAATATGGAAAAATCACGAAAATTAGCGAATTATTTTGAGTTAAGAATTCGTAAAAATTTTTCTTTTTAAATCTAAGATTTGAAAATGTAATACAAGATTACTCATAAGTTTGTCTACCTTTATCAATAAAAAAATCTCTACCGGAAAGTCAAATTAAATTCTTATGAGTGTTTGAAATTCAAATTATTACAACATTGGATATTCACTCGATTTCTCATGTGGAAATTTCCTTTAGTAGCACAAGTAGCACAGAATATTAGAGTTAATACATTATATTATTTTTACATATTTGCATTTTAGTGTTTTAATTTATTAATGTAATAACTAAAAACTATAGTATGACATACCTGTTAATACTTGATTTGCAATAATAATAATTGTTGTGAATATTTAATATTCTATTTTGAAGTTCATACCTAAAGGTACCTATACTTACTTCGAAATTCAAATACTGTGCAGATATTTGTGTAGGTATGCATAAAAAAAATAACAACAATAAATGGAACTTTTACCATTAGCTTTAGAGACAGCTTCGTTCCATGCTGTTAAAATATTAACTTCTTTTGGTGCTTTGAACAATGTACATTTAATTTTGTTTTTCAAAATATGGCATTGATCTACACTACACCGCCTAGACATTTTGGTAATTTATCTTAAATAATAAATAAATGTAATGTAAATACTATTGAAATATTGGTAATAAAAAAGTACAACATAGAATGAATTTTAGATAGGATTCACAGAATAGACTAAAATAATCTTTTATGTATGGTCAATACTTGCTCAGTACCTATTCTGTACTTAATTTAATAACATATACATACAAATAAAGTATAATATATCTTAGATTAAGTTGTTTAGTATAAAATATATTATACACATTCAAGAAACAAAATTAGATACAAGATGTGTATAACAAGTCTAAAGTTTATTATATATTTGAATATTTCATTATTTCATACAGTAACATAGGGATTATTTATAGGCTTATAATAGTTGCCAATAGATGGCAGAGCGGTCGCGGTTGTACAGGCGTCAGAAAGGAACCGTTGTACATTTGGCCCAGACCCCGCACTCCGCCAGCTCATTCGTTTCCAGTCCTGTATATCTTAGTCCGTGTAAGTCATAGACCTTATACTCATAGACGGAGCATGATCGTAGTTCCCGCGGCAAATACAGGGTGCGCTGCACATGTGTGGAATCTTCTTCTGCGCATGCGCGAAAACACAACCAGGTTGTGTTACAATAGTAATATTTATCGTAATGTGGTATGCATCATCACAGCATATTTAAATATTTTATTAATAGATTTCAATCTTATTTTAATTTTGTGTAATAGCTAAAAAATATTAATTATGCCTAGACTATGTGTTGTTTGTAAAAAATATGAGATTAAGGGATCAGAGAAATCATTTCATTCGTAAGTACAATAATTTATATTAGAACATTAATATGTTATTCAATTTGCATTAAATATTTGTTATATTATTTTAGTTTTCCTAAAAATAAAGATCGTCAGCAACTATGGTTAAAAGTATGTAATATAAAATGGTACTCGCCATCCTACAAGATATGTCAAGATCATTTTTTGCCAGAAAATTATTTACCAAGTGGATATCTGAAAAATAATGCTGTTCCATTTGTACTATCTACAAGACGTACAGGTATGCAAAAATGTATTTACCATCAAACATTATTTTGATACATAGGTAATATAACAGTCTAAATGTATTATTATTATTTCATCTAAGATTATGAACCTTTGGACTATGAGGGAA